TTTACCAGTATAACTTTGGTTTAATTTCCAATTTAAAACTTATGATGACACAAAAGTCAAGTGGTGGTATCCCTATTATCCATGCACTTATTCATTCATTCCATTTGCTCAAATACTATTTGTCAGGCTCAGATCTATGCTCTAGGGAGATAAAATCAGGTCAGCCTGACTTCTTAGGGTGGGCTCAGGGATCTAGTGGGCACAAAGAGAAAGCTAACAGGCCTTCTTAAGATTAGTCCCAAACCTGGCACAGCATCACTTTCTCCAGCCTACATTCAATGTGGGAAAGGACCATACAAAGGATGTGATTATTGGGAGAGGCCACAGTTTACTGTATTTTCTAATTTTCCTACATTAAACATTACTCTGTGTGTGTGTGTATGTGTGTGTACTTTTAGGGTTTAAAAAGACTTTTTTAAAAAAAGCAGTTAAATATTCTTAATGGAATTGGCAGCCATTACTAAATATTTAACAGTTAAAATGTTTATTTAGGCAACATTTCTCAAATTATGTACTGTGAAACACTCCCCATAAAAAAAGGCTCAGACTATTTTTTATGGGGAGTGTTTCATAAAACATAATTTGAGAAATGCCTAATTAAAGCTAAGTTTGGGAAATGCCAAGTAAAATACAAAGAACCATTAAAATGCTAATACATCCTTTTGACTCTACAAGTGTGGTGAGGTGAGGCAGAGGCAGAATATGTCTAACTGACAAATCAGTAGCGGCTATTACTAAAAACAAAAGATCAATATAGATAAAGTAGTGATAAAGTACTGCTAATAAAACTTGTATCATGTTATCATTGGTTTTTCTCAGTAAGATCTTTTATATAACATAACTATTATTTCTCTTCCTCATGAAGGAAGCAAAAATAAATTTTAATCTGGAAATTATGATCTGCTAATAGTTCTAGAATGCTTGGGAAGAAAAGAAGAATAAAAACACTAAGGGGAAAAGTACATTTTAATTTAGATTTTATTTCTATTCAATTTGTCCTTGGTATTAGTAGCCATTTTAAAGTATTGGTACAGGCTCAGATATACAAAACTAAAGGTCTAGGAGAAAAGGATTGATTATAACTTTTAAAAGGTTAGTAGGCTATTTTGCCTACTAACCTTTTAAAAGTTATAATCAATCCTTTTCTCCTAGACCTTTAGTTTTGCATAGAGGAGTTCTGGTAGCAAAGTATCTAAGGCATTTATTTAATTGCTAACGAGAAGGCTGATGATTCAAACCCACCAGCCACTCCTTGGAAGGAAGGTTGGGTGATCTACTTCCATAGTCATACCGCCTTGGAAACCCGCTATAAATCGGGTTCGACTCGACGGCACTGAGGTTAGTTTGGGTTTTTTTTGGTTTTCAGTCTGATATGCTATGGACTTTTTTTTATAACATTTTATTGCAATTTATAACTTTTACTAAAAACTCTTATTTCTAAAGAAATTGAGAACAGATGCTTAACAATAAAAATGCTCTAAACTGAACTTAAATTACAGGGAATAATTTGAATTCTACTTATGACTGCCTTAAAAAGAAGTATTTTGACAAGTTCAACTTTTTCCTAAGGAAATATGGTCCTTACCACTACTGCAGAAGCTCTGGTGGCATAGTGCCTAAGGCATTTGACTGCTAACCAGAATGCTGGCAGTTCAAACCCACCATCCACTCCTTAGAAGGAAGGTTGGGCAATCTATTTCCATAGTGGTACTGCCTCAGAAACCCAAGGAGGGGTCGCTATGAGTTGGATCTGACCCCATGGCAGTGGTTGTGTTTTTTACATTACCACTACTAGGGTCACAGAACATTGCCACTTCATCTAATTCATGGCTAGATATTCTGCTTTCACTGAAAAATAAACAAGTCAGAAGTCAAACTATAACCATGATTTTTATGGATTTGAAAACCCAAACCCACTTCCACTGAATCAATTCCAACTCCTAGTGACTCTACAAGACAGAGTGTCACTGCCCCATAGTGTTTTCAACACTGTGTATCTTCACAGAAGCAGACTGCCATATCTTACTCCCATAGAGTGGCTGGTAAGTTCAAACTGCTGGCCTTTTGGTTAGCAGTCCAGCACTTAGTCAGTGAGCCTCCAGGGATCCTTGTATATGAAAAAGACATCCAAATAACCAGAGTGGCAATTCATCAAATTAGGATTATTCTGATAAACCACTGATTTGATCAGATGTGATAAGAAAATGATCTTCAAAATGAAAGGGGTTATTCAGAGGCCTTAGACTCTTCAGATCACTACTGTAAACACTCCTTGTATGAAGGTTTGAAGACAGACTCAGTTTCAAGCTTATTGACTTGTACAAACTTCAGACTGTTAAAAAGATCACTCCTAGTATTACTGAACCAAGCAGAGATGTGACAGGCTCCATCGCAGTTGCCTAATCACGCTCATGACGAGAGATAACTTATACAGCACACTTAACATGTGTCAGGAACTGTTCTACGCAGTTACGTATATTAACTCATTTAATTTTCCAACAACCCTTGCTCATTTAAATATATATGTTCTGGTTTATTGATGTAACAGTAAAAATAACAGCTAACACTTAACATAATGCTCACTATGTGCCAGGTACATGTTCTAGGCACTTTACATAAATTAACTCATTTAATCTTCATGGCGACCCAGTGCAGTTGATGAGAAAAGAGGCTAAGTAACTTGCTCAAGGCCCTCAGCTACCCTGGAACAGAGCCAGAGCCTCCCTATAGTTGGCTCTAGCCTGTGCACTGCTAGAGCTCTTCTGCCTTAGTTGTTTAAATACAGCTAGAAAGGGAGAAGAACAAAACTAGATTAGAACTAGATGAGACTGCTGTGACTGGAAGATATGATGTAACACCGTATTACTTGAAACACTTAAAAAAAAGGGTCTTAAAATTTCAAACTGTACGTAGACAGTAGTATTATTGCATGCTTTAAATATCTTTTAAATAGTCTTTACATTTAAAAAAAAGTGACTAACGACCAACCTATTAAGGAATTGTTCAGTAAGGTTCTGCTGCTGATCAGGACCATCCTCCTGATTCACACCTCCTTCAAGCAACATCTGTTGGTATATTTGTCGTTGTTGCTCCTTCTGTTCTAAATGCTGTTGGTAGCGTAATCTTTGCCTGTAATATTCTTGAAATTGTTCTGTTGAATCTCGAAGCTTAAAAATATTACAATAAAATATTTGAGCAGTCTGTGATTGAATATGTCTTCACTCAACAGCAACTCTATAAATGCTGAACAAAATCCACATCCAGGTATATCAACAATTACAAAATACTTAATATACCATTCTTAGTACCCATAAGTTTAAAACTCAAGTAGATCAGATAATTTGTTTTAATCTACAACAACAGACTAGCCCAAAATAAAAATACAAATTACAGTGCTCATAAGGGGGATCTTTTCAGAGATTATGAATATAGATAAAGCCTAATATAAATCTATCTACATCACTTGGGGAAAAAACTTACTGAGGGACTGCAGTAACATTAAATAAACATAGTATTAGACTTGTCCAACAGGCTTAATTTAAGTTTCATAGGTCACTCTAGAGAGGAACTCCAAAAATTTTCCTCAAAGCCAATACTGTAGGTTTCAAATGTCCCCTCACAAGAAAGCAGAATAAATGTGAGTTAAAAGTCTCAGCATTCCTACTTCACCCTCGTAAAATAACTGTACAGCTAAGTTCCACGGTCACTCTAGAGAGGAACTCCTAAAATTTTCCTCAAAGCCAATACTATAGGTTTCAAATGTCCCCTCATAAGAAAGCAGAATAAATGTGAGTTAAAAGTCTCAGCATTCCTATTTCACCCTTCTAAAAAAACTGTATAGCACTCAAACTTACAAGGCTGAGATATTTGGTGAATTCCAATATTGGCAGAGGAAGACTCCTCTACCAAGCTGGGGTCTGGTCATATTGCATGGATCATGTGCCCTGGGGTTACCCTGGAACAAATCAATCATCTCTAAAATGAACCAACACTCAAAATAAGCTTAGCCAAGAGTCTTGTAGGATAACTAAATCTAAAACTGTCTCACTTTCCAGGAACTCCTCCTCTATTTCATAACTAATAGATAACTTAAGATAAAACTATCCATATGTACTTTAATAGTAATTTTCTACTTCATTCTTAATAGTTAGTTGAATTTATTATAAAGATTTAACCACTAAATAGCATACTATATAAAATAAACTTTACACACTATTTCACAACATAATTTCCTGTCAAAAATACAACAGAAAAATAATATAGAATTCTATAAACTTAGGTAAAACTACACTCTCCATTATAAATGTGTTAATTTCTTGTTCATTAAATCTAATTAGTAAACTATAGAGCATATATCTCAAAAATGCAAGCTAGCCACGCTTGGTCTGAGTTCAATTATCTGAGTCCTAAAATATGTAATAGCTTAATGTCAACTATAGTATTTTAGATTATTAATAAATTCATCTGTCAAAAATGCCCCAAAATAGAGACCAGGTTTGCTGGTCTGATACAGCCTGGTGGAACCACTGAGACTATGGTCCCTAGCTGCCCTTCAGGTCTGGAATTGAACCCACACCTGTGGCTTCCAGCCAAACAAAAGACAGGCATAAGAGTTGAACATGTACCTGAGGTAGCTACACTCCTTGGAGAGAATAATCACGAGAGAAAGAAGGGCTGTTTATGCACAGGAAGACAGCTCAAGGGGCAAGAGTGCACGGAGGGATGGACACAGGGAAGAGGTAACTATCGGGAGGAAGTGGGAGGGGAGGTTTTGCATTGGGGTAAACTGTCAATGTCATCAGACAACGTGTATGTGAACTGCTATATGGAAAGTGAATTTGCTCTGTAAACTTTCATCCAAATCACAATGAATAAATAAATAAAATGCCCCAAAATACAATGACAACAAAAAATACCATATATACTTTGGGGAGAGGGGAGAAAATGAATCACTAGTAAGAAAATCTAGCTGCTTTCTCCCCTAGTCCTAAATATCAAAATTCCATCCACGCAAATACTATTACTTCTTACAAAGAGAATAAACAATACTATGTGTAGTAAATATTACCTCATTTTTTTCTTGCTTAGCTGGTACTGGATTCTGTGATCCATTTGCAGGCTCTTTTTCTGAAACTGAACTCTGGCCCAGGACTTCACTGCTGATAGGCTTCTGTGCCTCAACGGGAGTATCACTTCTTTCAGAAAGGTGAAAAAGAAAAGAAAAGGCAGAGGTGGGGTGGAGGAAAAAATACTTTAGATAAATTTTAATTAATAATAAAGATAATTAAGTGTTCATCATGTACACAAATATAAATTTGTCATTTTCCTTCCTTAAGTACACTATGGAAAGGGTTTAAACAAACAGAATCTGCACCCAGTGGAGGGACACTGGATTATTAAGCAAGGAGGACAGGAACTCCAGTCTGAAATCAGTTGTGTGGCCTTGGCAAAGTCACTTACATTCTCTACAGCTTAGCTTCATCTATAAACTGAGTAACAGGTTGGATGGCCTGATGCCTAAATGCTCTTTAGAACTCTAAACACAGGATTTGTTTATCAAACATTTATTTTTTTTCCTCCAATATGTTTCTACAGAATTTCAGGAATTTTTGAGAGTTTATTAAAAGTCTATTTGCACTTGGAAAAAAAAGGCTATTTGTATTTAACATAGAAGCTAAGCATACCTTTTTTTCAATATTTTTAATATATCTTAACTAGTAGGCTTGAGATCTTCAGTTACATTGTGCCTAATATTCTTTAAAATATTGGCAATTTCTGCATTTCATTGCTACTCTGTTCAAAATGTTTAATAATAATAACATCACGTGAAGATGATGAATGCCCCAGATATTTATACATATTATCTACTAGAACAAGGCACTATGGGAATAACTAAAAAAGTGAAACAACCTCAGCCTTCAAGGAGTTAGATTATGAGGTTGCCTCATGCAGTGTAGTAAATTACTTAGTATGGCTTTTCTACCCATAAGTCATTGTAAACTCAGTGGTGGAATGAG